TTCTCTCTCTCTCTCACTAGTCTCACTCTGTCTGTCTGTCTCTCTCTCTCTCTCTCTCTCTCTCTCTTTCTCTCTCTTTCTCTCTCTCTCTTTTCTCTCTCTCTCACTCTCTCCAGTACATCCTTGAGTAAAGCCAATGCAGCTCATTAAGCATAACAGTTTGTATGGGGTACTTGATTTTCTTTCTTTTTTTTTTTGACGTATATATACATATTATGTACTACATAATGTTGAAACATACAGAATTACAAACTTCTACCTGCTCAGTAGCCTACCTTCTTTTGAGAAATTTGACGTTAAACGTTTTGAATTACACAGCTCGTCAAGCTTTATCGAGAGCAAGTCATGGCATATCTAGATGACGACTCCGAATAATCTTTCGATTTCTATAAAGCAGTTAGAACATTTGGTTTCTGACCTCATGGTCTTAGTAACTCAAAACAACCAAAAATGTCAGATAGAACTCTGGTCGCTTTTAAGGACTAGGGGCTATTCCGAAAAATACTGTTTAGTAAAAATCAAAGGCAAAGTTTTTGGACCCTTGTTCATTTTCTTTAAAGGATAAGGAGAATTTTCTCTATAACCAAACAAATAAACTCACCAATGAAACCAAACTTCTCCTATAGGTGGTGCAATGCCCACTTTTGGTGTAGGTCAAGATTTCTGGACATCCCCTATATCCTGGTTAGCTCGCTTGTTCTTAAAAACGACCAATATTATTTGTGGAATCAGGCACGAGACAATTTTTGGGCTTTTGGGGTTATTGGTATTTTCTTAAAACCTGTTGATTTGCCTTCCTTTGTGTGAAAGAATTACCCATCATTATTGAATGGAAGTCAAGATATTTGCGATTGAATGAGGTGGGGGTCGCCTGGTATGTGAGGTAAAATTAGCGAGAAAAGGGCCGCCAAAGTCTGGTCGAATTCCAAAGCTTTAATATTGTTGGAAACTGGAAATTTACATTTTTTTATGTCTTTAATGAACGTTTTTTGGTAATCGTCCACACAGAAATGCGTTTATAAAAGGGTGTAAAAGGTGTTGAGCCAAATATAGAAGAAAAAAATTTTTGAATTGCCCAAGGCCCAGAAAAATGTCTGTTTCTTTGATTTCTTTGCTTTGACGAGCACCTGATCTCACCATGATGCCTCACATTGTTCTGTTGTTCCTGTCTGCAGGGCCGCTGAGAAGATGAAGCAGTGTATCCTGAAGGCTGTGGAGGGATGCCCACCTGAGGTGGTCGCTCAGTCTACCAAAGCTTTGGAGCAATCTACTGCTCCCTGCAACCCAGGTGAGAGAGAGAGGGGGGGGGGAACGATTAATTTTTTTTTAAATCGATGGAAAAATAAACAAAAGTAATGATAATGA